TTTCGTAATCCCGCGCGATATGACGATAATATGTACGAGTAAAGGAGGTAATTGGAGCTCGAGTCGGGACCTGCAATGTGCGCTGGGTGGCAAAACTTTGGAATTCATCGTTAATTCAACGCGGCCTGAGTGAGAACGCGCAGCCTGCAAATAAGCTCTCTTGTGGCAGACGCTGTTCAGAATCTTCCAAATAATTATCATTGGCCTTGTCTAGCCCTCGTCGCAGGCACAAAACCTGCGTGCTGTGCAAAATCTTGTTGCGGAATTTCACATCCCAGTGGAGACGATTTTTACTTCCGCGCCCTTTTATGTGAAAATACTGTTGGCACATCATTGTTTTTCCTAGAATTTTAATTCTCAGAGAAACACATTTTGAAAGAAAATTGAATTCACTTAAAGCCGGAGTTAAATGTTGGGAAGCAACGAGAATAAATTGCCCGGCTCAAAAGAGCAGTGTGTGTCAAAGAAGCGCTGCGTCGACCCTCTAAAAATGAAAACATCAGCCCCGCGGCGCCGCACAGAGAGCCAAAGCTCAGCCATCCAATTCCACCCCAGCAATATTGTGTACACAAAAAGACCGAACGCGAGCTCTCTTTCGATAGTCGGCTAATGTTCCCGTCTGCCTCGTTCTTATGGGACTTGTGATGAGCGGGTTGCCTATTCGGCAGATTCGCAGGCGCTTTGATCTCGCTCTCATCAGTGACTTTAATTAAAAGCAGGATTATTCACAGCGCTTCCAGTGATCCAATTTTAGCACTACGCGAAATTGAAGTTTTTTTGCTCTTAACTTTTGATTGCATTCTGTTTAGACGGAAAAAGCTCATAAAACAAGTAAAATTTATTTATTTTGACTATTTTGAGGTACAAAATATGAAAGAGAAAATAAATATATACAAATACATTGAATAGAATGTTGGAATTCATTTTTCATTTCTAATCCAAAGCTGAGCTACAAGTTGAAACAATACTGATTTATTTTTTACGTGTCTACATTGCGAAAAATTGGTAGCTTCCAACACCGGTTTCAACTTCATGCAGTAACAAGGCATGAAAGTTTTCTGATTAGAAACTCCGCTCTTCCATAACGCGCGATTGCATAATGAAAAAGCAATATCAAAGGTGAATCATATTCTTACATCAAAGAAGCCAAGAGAAATTTATTTCAAAAGTTTTAGTTCGCGCAGCGTTGCCAATTAATATCTACGCAGTTGATTAGCTTCGCTGGTGCAGAAAGATTTGCAAGTATGGTATGGTCGGGGGGTGGTTTCGCCTCTAATTGCGTTCAAAGTGCAACCCAGAGAACTGGTGGCCTTCTTCTTCAGTTCCATCTGCTGAGAAGGAGCAAAGTTTTGTGGGGCATTTAAATTGCAGCTGGCAGATTTGGCGGAACTTTTTACTGCCGCGTGCATGCAGTGGAAAAGAGTGGATTAAAATAAATCAAAAGAAAGCGAGGGTAATAAGGAGGGGCTGTGCTGTGTGGATAACACCTCGCCCGATTTTATTTTTGCAAAAGAAAGTGGGGCTCCATTGTGTTGTTATTTTATTGCCTGCGCACCGCCACGATATTCGGGGCCTTATTTATAAGCCGGCAGCTCTCTGCCACTTTTATAGGTGATGGCGAAATATAAACTTTCCTCCTCCTCCTCCTTCAATAATAAATAAATACGCACGCTGCGAGAGCAAAAGAGAGCAGACAAAGAGCAAAAAGGACTTTCCCGGGAACAATTGGACTTCATTTCCCTCTGACAAATCATTATTTATAATCAAAGAAGGGAGCTAAAGAACGAAAATAAACATAAAATGGTGCAGAAGGAGGAAAACTTTTTGCAACCTGAGACGAAATTAATTTTTAGGCCGGCCTGGGTGTGCAAATTGAACTCAGTCAGGGAAACGAAACGGCGTCATTTTGAAGTAGTTGTTGTTTCACTTGAGATGACGGCAGTTAATATTGCAGCAAAGTGGGCGAGGACACATGTGCGGCGGTGCTATTGCCACTTTGCAAAATTGTTTCCACCCGAAAACGACGGGGCGGGTTGCTGCTGCGGAACAAGAAAATGTCACGCCGCTGCAAAATACAATACCCGTGCACGCCTCTTTGCCCCATGAATAATTAGAGCGCACGCTTTTCTGCCTGCCTGCCCATTTCTTTACGTCGCGTCTAATTCCACGTTTGCAATTAAATGCACGCTCATCCGTTCGCGGAAAATGTGAGAACGTCAAGAGTCTTCGAACGCGTGTATGTGCCGCACCTGTTCTTACTTTTACAACTGGCTGGTTTTTTTTAATACGTGGCCTAAAGAACGAGAGCAAATTTTATGGGCCTGAAGTTCACCTGAGCTCAATAAGCAAAAGTGAACTTAGTATATATCACATGTCATAGCACTCTTGTTTGAGTATATTCAGTAAATAAATTAAGTCAAAATTATTCTATTCAATATTACACATTTAAATACATTTTATTTAAATATTTAAGGTCATGCATTGAAAAAATTTTGATGGAATAAACAAAAATATAAAATAATTATGTGATTTTGGATCAAAATTTATAAATGATTTTTTGCCCCAATTTCAGCGACTGTATTTCAGGCCCATGTAAAATGAACAACAAAATCTTCCACTCAATACGCTTTTAACCTTTTATTAAAAAGCGGAAACACCAAATTGGCCGCTTTCAGTGCGCTAAAAAGGTTGTAACTCTTTTGGAGCGTGCATAAAATTGAAAAGGTATGGGCGTGTAAAGCGTGTAATTTGTACCGAAGTGAATTCAGAGGCTTATGAGTTAAACAGCAGTTGCATCACACTGACAAAAAAGATAAACAATGAGCAAAAGTGTACGCGACAACAGAACACAGCCGGCGGCCAAAAGAATCCCCGGCGTGTTTTGCATTTTAGCTCGCAAGAATGCATTATCGCGTCCAACTCTCGGTGCTGGTCTTTTTATTTACGACAGGAAATGATGTTTTATTATTACAACCGGGATTTAATTTATCTCTCTCGGCATAAATAACACGGAACGCTCTGCTTGTGTAGGGCAGCGTATTGTTCTTTCATTTTGCTGCGATGATAATCGGGGCTCAGAAACACCACGCCGGGAATTAAAAAGATGGGGCCGCACCACGTTGCACTAAGCTCTAGGTGCTGTAGGGTCCAATCTCAAAAGCAAACACGGCCGCTCTAGAATAGGAAAAGAATATACGCACGATTGTCAAAATACATCTGATCCTCTTTCCATAGCGCGCTAATAATCGCCATCATAATCCTCTATTGTATGAAGCGGCGATAACTGTTTTATGACAGGAAAATATGTACAGAATACCATCCGCTTTTTGCTTTATTTGAAATTGGTGAACTCAAAACCATTCTGAAATAATTATAGTTTAACAAAAGAACCAAACATTTTTGGGGTCTTTTTAATTGCAAAATTTAATTCAAATTCAAAATTTGATTATTTTTAGGCAGCTTTTAAAACGGAAGTGCCAAGAATCTTGCATCTTAAATATTTTTTAATTTAATAGGCCTCTGCAAAAATATAATTAAATAGTTTTATTTGAAGAAATCCAGAACAAGATCTGAAATAATCATCAAATTTTTGCAGGGTATTTGTAATTAAATCAGAAATTTTCCATTTTATTACAAAGATTTGCCCATCATAAAGTTTTTATTAATTTCAAATCAAAAGAAATTTAATTTCAAACGTTGTAACATGCGATGTAGCTTTTGCTTTATATAATCTGTCTTGTGAATTGGAATATCTTCTTCTGCAAGAGCGAATCCAAGCACGATATCTCCGAATGAACAGCTGCGGATATGCATATGTATGTGTGTTTCTTTCGGAAGACAAGGGTGCCGCTCGCGCGAGGAAGCAGAAAATTTCCGATTTTGGGCGACACGTCGTTGGCGTCGTCGACAGAAATGATGGAAGGGCCCTCGTCTCGCTGATTGCGCCCAAGACCGGTGTCAAGCGTGCTGCCAAAATCAATCATTGCCGCGTGAAAAAGGTGGGCGCCCCCGTTGTTTCGTCATTGTTAAAAAAATAAATGCACCTCTCTGTCGGTCTTTTTGCGCCGCCGGCCGGAAAGAATGTTGAATCAGCCTCGGCCCGAGTCTTTATCGATTGTTTGCTTGACGGCGGGCGCAATGCTGCGGTACAAACACTGGCAGACAGGACCTTTTATTTCGCCTTTGTGGATCTGCTTCATTATTCTTGTTGCCCTCAACAGTTAGGCTCTCGCGTGTGCCGCGGCCATTTATAACAATCGGATTATCCAAATATCACCGGCCGATTTATTTTGTTTCCCCCCAATCATGGACGAATAAATAAGAAAAATAGAGAGATGCCGCGTGCGTTAGCCGCGATATTTATGGCCGACGTATGGAGCTGGAATTGAAACAGATTTATCATCTTGCTTTCTCTCGCAGGGAGAAAGATGAATGGTCCGCGAGTAAAGACTAAAGACAGCAGTCTGGCGCGGGCAAAAAGGGAAATCGTCTCTTGAGCGGCACACACTGGGCTGCGTGGGTTTACTTTTACTTCTTAAAAATAGTTTTATAACATGCACAGAATAAATAAATTTTTTTCAACGATTGAATGTAAGAAATGCATTTATAATAATTTAGGCAAATAAACAGCAATAATAATAATTAATAATATATTTCAAAATAATTATACTTTTCAGTAGCTCAGCTCTTTATGACTTCTGCTATTCATCAAAATTAAAGAAATAAACAAATAAAACCGCAATCAATAAATAAAGTATTTGAATTCAAAATTAACGAGTCCTTATTGACATTTTCAAATCAAGTCTTTACAACAATGGTGATTAAAATTTCCAATTGTCTTTCATCAATCGAAAGAATCTGTTTATATTATTGTAAGGACTTGATTTGACTTTGTCAATCAGAAGTCCTTAAAACTCGCAGTCACTCGCAGTATATTTATGTAAGCAAGAATAAAAAAATGTTTTTTGTTTTGAATTTATGATTTCCTGGTTCTATTTTTCCTACGGATTATTCCCAGTTTCGGGAGCAACCTTTTTCTTGCTAAACCAGCCTCTCTTGGTCTTCTTTGCAGCCCTGACTGGCAGAGCAGCTGGTGCTCCTGACTTTTCTTGCGGCTTCAAGTTGCAGTAGATGCTCTCTTCCGAATTCAGTTTTCGCCTGACGAGTTTCTCTCTGATGGCTTCAAACTCGGCTAACCTTTCCATTTCCACCTTGCGGAGCAGCTCCTTTTCAGAGATCATGAGCTGCTCAGTTTTGGTCCTCGTCTTGGCGATCTCCTGCGACACCTGGGTCTCCAGCTGATGGAGCGCGGACAACTCGTACTCCGCTTCTTTTGCGCCATCCTTCATCCTGACCACCTCTTCCTTCAGAGTGCTCAGGTAGCTTTCCAACTGAGTTTTCTCTGCAGTCATTTGCTTCTCCTGCTCTTGCATGGTGCGAATTTCTTGAGAGAGACGCTTCAAATTAGTGGCCATCAGTGCTTTGCTAGTCTTGTCTTTGTTCTCTTTGCGCTTCATTTCCTCAAACTGCTTAAGAAGTTCCTTTTCCTCCTCCCTCATCTTCTCAACACTCTTGCTGACCTCGGTCACTTTGAGCCGTAGTTTCTTCAAGTCGTCACTCTTTCTACTGAACATTCCTCGCAAATCGGTCAACTAAAAAATTTTAAAATATATAATTTTTGTCCAAAATAATAAGTCACTATAGAAATGCGAGAGAAATTTATAATTAAACTTAAAATATTTGTTTAAATAAACTAATTAGTTAAATTTACCTTGTTGTCCATGTTCTTATTTTCAGCCACTAGCCTCTCTTCCGATTTTTCCATCTCACTATTCTGCCTCCGTAGATCCGCACGACGCTTCTCAATCGCCCGCAAGCCATTTTTCGCCTCTTTCAAATCCTTCTCCATATTCTTGTATTGTGCGTCCAATCTGTTGGCGTCCTCGGCACTGATTCGCACGTCCTCTTCAAGACGCCTCTTGGCCGTGGTGGCTTCCTCCACCAGTCCCTCCAGTTCCAAGCTGCTGAATTTGCAGTCTTCCAAGATGGAAGTTTGCTCGCTCACCTTGGTTTTAAGTTCTATCAGCTCCGTGGTCAACTTGCTCACTTCCTCTTGCTTCTGAAGCACCTTTTTCTGAAGACTCTCGACTTGGCTCGCACACGACTTCTGCGTGCCCTCCAGCTCGCTCTTGGTTTTCATTTGGTGCTCGACTTCCACCTTGAGCTTCTGCGACTCCTCTCTCAGAGACTGCAGCTGCTGCTTGCTGGAGGAAACTTCTTTTTCCAATTTGACCATTTCCTTCTGAAACTTCGTCAGTTTCTCCTGCATTTCACTTTTGTTGCGCAGCTTCTCGTCCATTTTGCACTCAGCGTTTTTCAGTTCGGACAGTCTGATCTGCTTTTGCCGTAGGCTCTCCTTGCACTCCTTGATGCTGCGATTCAATTCATCCAAGTCGGCAAGCACCTTTGTCCTGTACTCTTCAAGAGCCTTGCTCTCGCCCTTTTCCTTGCTGACCTCTTGGTTCAGCTTGGCGTTGGTTTCCCTCAGTTTGCCGACGTCACTCTTCAGCTGCCTGCAGAAGCCCTCAAAGTTGCACTTCTCGTTGGCCAGGACCATTTTCTTCGACCTGAGCTGGTTGATCTCGGCCTCGATCGAGTTCAAATGGGCAGCAATGTCGATGGACCTACCCGCCGGCTGTCTTTGCTTGGCCTCGGTGGGTCGCCTGTGGGTCGCCGATGGCATCCGAGGAGACGACTTTCCGTCGAGTGCCATTTGGGTCAGAATCTTTCTGTGGTCGTCGCAAACCGATTTCATGTCTCCCAATTTTGATGTACGCTCCAAAACAACCTTGTCGTTCACTTTGATCACTTTCTTGTGAATCAGGCCGTCCATTACACGCAAATGTTTTAAAGAACTTTCGGTTGGTGATAAAAATCGCTGCATTCAAATTTCAACAATGGCCACATCTGCAACAAGAAGAAATAGAAAACAACTCTAATTTTTGTTTTTTCCATTGTTGTAACTTTTTCAACAAGAAAAAATGTGGAAAAGATATTTACTACCATCAATTTATACGACTTCGAATTATTAAAAAAAAAGCACAGATTATTTTAAAAGTAAATGTAAATTATTTATAAAACAAAACAACGATATTATTTTGAATTATTTACTAGAGAAAAAGTAAAATTACGTGACACTAGTCGGTTTAAAATTAAAATTTCTTTCAAAATAATTAAATAGTCATGAATTCATCATAATTATGCATATCATATTATTTTATTTTATTTAATGCATTTTGAATTTCACTTGATTTCAATGAGTTAATACAGAATCAGGAAAAACTTTGTCAGATGAGTTTTTATTTAAACTAAAAATATTTATACAAAATACTTTTTTGTACCCTCCATAAAAATTCAATGAACATAAAAATTGCCAATTTCCAATTAAGCAAATAGAAATAATTTTGATTTGATTTACATTGTAATTTGTGATGGAGAATGAGTAAAAATGACATACATTATTATAATTTTGCGTAATTTAAAAAGCTGGAAGTTTGATGAAATGCACAGTAGATCAGATACGACTCTTCACTGGTTCCAAACTCTGTTAATAAACAATCAGAATTCAAAATCCATGCTATTTTAGTCATTCGTTATTGCAAATTGATTGCTGAGGGGGCGTAGACACTCGTTAATTCATTGAGCAAGTCTACGGCTTTGCCAATTACCCGCGCCAACTCGTTTGCAAACACCACAATTGCAGCAGCCATAAATTACCCGGCGCACGCCGTTTCCATCGTAGAGAGCTTTAGAAAATGTTTGCTTAGCATTTCACGCTTGATTGACTCAAATTCCCGTTAATTGGTTGACTGCTTTTGATAAATCAAGCTGCGCCACTGGGTTTTCTCTTGCGCACACAATGGCACATCTCCTTTATGGCGTAATTACCGTTTGTTGATGTTTTGGCTCCGGCCCACGGGCACACGCACGCGTCCAATCATTATTTTCCTGTGCGCCAAATACATATAAGGTGCTTGCCGACCGACCGAACGGCCGGCCAGATCGATTCAATACCGGACGGCGCCGGCAGGTGTTTCCATTCTCACCCCATTCAAGATGACGAGCGGCCGGATTACGTTTCACGAGAGGCGACAAGAGATCGCCTTGCTGGGGAAAAACGGCCAGAAAGTATCCTCGAAATCCGTCCAGCTCGGCAGTAAAGCTCAAGCTGGGATTTTTCGCACAAACTTTTGCAAAACCAACAATCTCAATATTCTAGAGCATAAACGAGACGGCCTAACGCATGTAGACTCTCAACACGTGACTTCTTTGCAAAAAAAAAGTAGAAAAGTGGCGTGAAGTGGATTTCAGGCAAACTTTCGCTGCAAAGGAGACGATGAGCAGCCGAAAAGTTTTAATGGTTTTCAGAGAGCGAGGCCTGTGTGTCATTAGTCGGCAAAATCTACTCAATCAAATGTGTGCCTGGCAGGTCCGTTTTTCAATAATTGTGTCCTGCTCACCGTTGAGTCGCCATTTGCGACGCCACACTTTTGGACCGCGTAAACCACTGCCGCAACGAGGTGAAGACGGGTTCTTTAAAGGAAGACCCGTGGTGATTGGGATTTAGATGTGTTCCAGATTAAAAAGCTGCTGGTGGGTGGGCGCCGGCGAGGTGATTCGGGCGGCGGAACGTGACAGAATCCAGCGGATTACAAACCCTGATAAGCGGAAAGAGAGTGTGGAGGGCCGCTGCTCTTGGCGTAAATCTTGACAAATACAGCCATCTGATAGCGTCCAGTTTTAAAAAGCTGCCGAGCTGACGCTGCTTCGGTGGCTTTGGCATTGATTAAGTGCAACTTCGATTCGCACTGAAATCCTTCTAATGGCTCCTTTTGAAAGCAGGAAGAAGGAGTTTGAACAAATAAAGCCTTTTTTAAATTACATTTCGCTATCCGGTAAGGACCGAATTTCCGTTTCCATTTTCGTCATTCTCTAAATAAGCTCGGCTGGCGAGAAGCTACTCCTCCCATCTTAAGAGCGTTCTGAGAAGAAAATTGGATCGCCGGCTCATTTTCCTCTCGTGCTCAATTTCTCATTAGAGGGCAATAAAAAAGTGCCTCCGTCTTTCTTATTTACTCCGCACTTGGAATTCATTTCTTGTCCTCGCGCCTGATAAGCATTCAATCCGCGGCGTCCGCCCAAAGTTGTTCCAGCTGAAACAACGCGCGAATAATAACGACAGAAAACCGTGTATAATAATCCCGGCTGAAAGGTGGAGTTTAATGAGACAAGCGAGTGCAGTCATCGCCAATCATTAATCACAGTGTCAGACAATGCCGCCGGAGATGCGCCGTCGACTGACTTAACACGGCGATGATTATTTAAATCCATCCTCGCAAATTTACAAAGCCGCCACTAATTAATTAGAGTGTGCGGAATCAAGTGATTGATATACATGTTGAGCAGCTTTCCCGCGTTTGTGAGTTTTAATTACACCGCAGAGTATTTTTCTTTCCTGCTCGAGTGCCGGCATCCAAGCGTGAAGGCAAAAAGCAGCGCCTTCATCCATCATGGGCAGCCCGTTTTAAATTATCACCAGAGTAATAAAGCAAGAAAACATTTTTTCTCTCTCCCCTCTTGTAATTTTCCTTCGGCTCTTAGCAAGTTTTATGTGCCTTGGTTTTTTGCCATCGGATATAAGCGACGCATAAAATTCAGGAAAATCGCTTACATCATATTACAGCGACCTCGCGGTGTTTTTGACTAACAATCCAATTTTAGCGTCGGCATAGTAAAAATAAAAGTTCATAGCATGAATACTGGTATAATAAAAAATAAAAACTGTCTTAACCTGCTTCTAAGTGGTTAAGCACACACACCAAGCGAGAGCGACTTCCTTTGCTTTGCATATTCGAAACAAAGGAGAGCTCCCTGCCTCTTTTAATTTGCAAAGAGGGATTTTAAATATTGAAGTCGCTCGTGCGCTCTGGCATGTCACCCCTTTGCTAAACGCCGACCGCTTTGTTATTTCCTCTCTCTCTCCGTTCTGCTCTTCTGGCACAGAACGAATAATAATGGGGAGGAGCGCGCAACTTTGTCTGCCTTACCGAATGGAAATTAAATTTGATCGGTGGATGGAAAAGTTCTGTAGGTCTTGCCAATTCATTTACGCATATTCAATCAGCCAGCTTTTCTGCAAAACTTTCCTTCCCCACCTCCTTGCTGGCAAACAAATTTATGCAGTTTTAACCCACTCGGGGTGAAAATCGTGCTTTTAAAAAAATCATTATCTTCAAGCTGGTGTTGAAGGCTCGGTTGCATTCACGGAACGGAGCGCAGGTGGTCAGGCACCGGCGAAGCGTGCATAATTATCATTTTTTTTTTTTTTTTGCTTGGTAAACTTCTCCCGCTGGGCACGCGGAAATAGAATTCTGGCTGCACAAAAAAAAAAGGTAGCGTTATAGGTTGCCTTATGCTGCGGTTGATATTAAAGCATTTTTACTCCCCGAGGGATAATTTTTTATGACGAAATAAACACAAAAAAATCTGTTGGAAAATAAGGTTTGACGTAATAAAAAAAATTCATTAAAATTTCAAAAACTTAAAAAGTAGTGGCCATTTTTTCCGAAAACTCATTTTATTGAAACAAAATGCTTTTTCAATAATTGAATATAAACACATTTCTACAATGAGGGAAAATGAACAACAATATTAACTATATAGATAATCATTGAAAACAATTAATTGTAAACTTTTATTAATTTTTTTTGGTGGCCCGTTTATACCAATTTAAGATTTTTCAAAAATCCACATTGGGGTACACAGAGATTCCTTTTTTCCTTTTTGAAATGCCAGGAGTGTCACATTTTACAAATTCAGAGTAAATTTTGCAATTTAGTATCAAATCAAACAAACAGCCGATTTGTTTGTTTGGGAGATTTTGATTTTACTTTTACAGTGAGAAACTTTTGGCTTCCTCGGATAAACTAATCAATCCTCACAACACACATTCTCGCAGTTAACAAATTTACGAGTTGATAGGTGTGCTACCAGAAATTGGCAATGCTGTAAACTCTCCAATTCTCTCTGATCCATTTTGATTTTACTTCAAATTTCATCTGAAGCCTGAAACGGGTTTTGTCAAAATATGATAAAAAAAAATCTAGCCGTAAAAGAGATGACACACAATAAAACTTTTATTGGCCACTTTCGTTCAGCAGCAAAAATAGAGAGCGGGTGACAGCTTAAACCGCGAACGAACGGTCAGTGTGATTCATGCGTGCCAAGGGACGAATAAGTTTAATATATGCCGTTAATCTGCGCGCCCGTTAATTGTGTGGGTATCAATCACGGCGGGTGTGTGTCACTGTATGTAGTTTTCGCGCAAATGTGCAAATCGCGAGAAGAGCGGCAGAGCGGGGCAGTGGACGCGCGCGACCGTCGAGTGTGAACAAGAGACAAATTAGAGCGGAACGAACACAACGGGATTACACGTACCGACGTCGTGTGTTTGTAATGAGCTAGGGCTGCTTGGTGAAGGGACGGCGAAAAAGGCGGCCCAATCAATATGCGCCGTAATTTGCATATTTTGTTTGCAAGAGGAAAACGCGCGCTTGTTTTAGCAGCAGGCTAACTAGGCGTGCGCCCAGGCGGAAAGGGTTGATTTGAATAAATGCTCACTGGCTTGGCAAGTTTATTAAAAGCACGTCTGCAGATATTGCCTTTGACTGACGCAGAAAAATTTAATTGGATCTTGTAAATAAGCCATGGCTTTGCGTTCGCCTTGGAAAAGAAAAGGGGTTTTCTTGTGGTTCTTGTTTCAATGCAAATTTTCAATCAATGGGTTGGGATTTGGACAGTTTCAACCGATTGATTTTGACACGAGAAGCAAAC